ATATAAAACAGATCCCAAATTAACTAAAGTAAACAATAGATGACTTAACCCCTAGAACCCTACAGACCCACCGGTGGGTCCAGCTGCTACATGACCTCGTAATTTTAACAAACCCCCAGTATTGATGTAAAAGACACATTTGGCACAGTTTGGTGACATTTATGGATAAATGTGCCAAAATGGCCCCTCCGCCTAAGAAATTTCTCACTAATACCATTCTAAAATAAATATTATTCATCTGATTGAGTCCAAATTTGGTATATTTTTACACAACATTTAGATTTAAAAGTCTGTACTACTTTTTTGTGCTATAAATAATATTTTGGTAGTGTTTTGCAATGTTTATTTCAAAGAAAATTTTGGCGAGGTTCAAAAAATGCAAAATATTTTGTCCCTAATATTTCAGGCAGGGTCAAAGCTACAATGGTGCTGACACCAGAAAACCATTCTATGACATCTTGCCTTTACAGAGGTACCAAAAGTTTCTTCTTAAATCTAATAGCTGTGAGGCTATAAGTGATTTACTTTTGTGTGTTTTTGTCAGGCAGAAATTTATTTATACCCCTGAGGGTGTAAGAGGTTAAGGTTAAAACCGGATCTGATCAATAAGTGATGCATTTTTTAAAACATCTCTATAAATAAGAGCCCCCCAATATTCATGGGTGTTGCTGGACAAGTTTTCTAGGGACTGATGCCCTTATTCAAAAGCAAAATATTTCAATCGACAATTTAAAAAATCCTACCACAAAAAAATGTTTCTTAGCTACTGTCGTATCATCAGCCCAGTAAAGCTCAATGTATGCTATGTTTTGCAATATTTTTTTTTTCAAAGCCACAGTTTAAAAGACCATAAAAAAAAAAAATCCTACCTGAAATGAAAGTCAAAAGCGTTATGGTTTCTAGAGACTTGGGATAGTTATGGTTTTTAGGGGGATGGGTATTGTGCTAGTGTTTTTATCCCCAGTATCTCTAACAACAAAAAAATAAGCATACTTTAAATCGCATTGAATTTTACATCAGTTTGGAACTGTTTTTGGCACTGCAAACAGCCGTTTGTATGTCAATAAAGCTTCTCTCTTCTGCTACTTTTCCGTTAGTCATGCAGTTTATTGTCCCCTGTTATTTCAGACAACATTGCATCAATTCCACCACATCCACCTTATGATGTTGGAAAACCCATTGATCAGATCTAGATTGGCCCTGGAATATTGTAAGAACTTACTTTTAGAGGACCTTCCAAAGCCATTCTTTACACATGGCACTTTTCTTAGATTAAAGTTCTTAGACAAAACCTTCATTGGGTCTAACCTCACATGCAGAGCGGCATGTAGCAAAATGATTCCGTGAGGAAATCCCACTGACTTTTGCTCATCATGAAGCCTAAACAGCACAGCAGCACCATCCCCACCGCCCCCACCTCCCGAAGTTCTTGATGATCTATATATCATGTTAAGTGCTTTCATGAGGATTGCTTTAGGATTACTGGAGGATTACTGGAGACAGTAGGCAGTTTGAATAAAAAGGTAGATCCAGATAATATCACAAATGCTCTAAAAAAATCTATATATAAATACAGTATTAGCGAGCTGTTGCTACTAAGGCTGCTATGTCAACAAAGAGGGAGATGAATGCATGCATTTGGAAACCATTGTTAGCAATGGTTTAAATTCTCTCTCTTTACTCTTTAAATTGATGGTTTCAGCTAAACTTTTTTACTGCTCTGTGACAACATTGCATCAATTCCACCATCAAGGTTTACTGTTGTCCTGCGCAACACACTGAAGGGTCTGTATAACTGAGCTTTAATGTGAGAAAATAGGTTTTGGTGCCAGACTGAGCCTGAGGAGTAGAGCAGAAGGTTTGCAACCCTGCTGCTATAATCAATGACCTCCATTGAGAGTATAATCCTAAATAACCTTAAAGGCAGAATTTATATGGGGCTGCCTCTAATTATCATTGCATAGAGCCAAATCCAAGTTTGTTTTTAAACAATCCTTTAATATAAAATGATTTCCCCTCCTTGGATTTGTTGTGTTAAAAATGCTAACAGTTAGAAAAAAAAACATTCCCGTTAAGCTTGATTTTTGTTTGAATACTAATAGATGCAATAAAAATAGTTGAGTGGCAAATGTCCTTGTTAATATTTTCAACCTAGAAACATATCTACTGTAGTTGAAAGATTCTAGTAATCTAAGAAACCTTGGATATTTCAACATATCAGTGTCTTTGTGTAATAACTAGTAAAAAGTTGTTATATTGTTAAATCAATTATTTCTTATTCTTACACAAATATTTTTCTAATCCTGTGCTGTGTACTTTATACTTTCTGTAGTAGTGTTTAAGTGTTTTTAATGCTTTATTGCCTCAAGGGATGTAAACAGTTGACTTACTATTAACTTTTAATTCATGGTTTTTTAAAGTATGTTTTCTATCTGATTAACTGATAATGTAATCTAGTAGGAATCTTTTTTAGTGCTGTAGTGTTACTCTAGTCCAGTGTTTTTCAACCCTGGTCCTCAAGGCACACTCTTCTGCATGTTTTGGATGTTTCTGAGATTCATTACACCTGATTCAGATGATTGCAGTTCAGCAAAGCCTGATAATCTGCTATCAATTGATAACAGGTGTGTGAAAGTTGGAAAACATCTAAAACATGCAGGGCAGTGTGCCTCAAGGACCAGGGTTGAAAAACTCATCTGTAGTCCACTGGATGGCGCTACTGTTCACTCTGTGGCAGGGCATCACTGTTATTTGCAAAAGAAGAAATCCCAAGGCAAGGCATGCTTGATCAAAAAAATTAATGCACTTTATAGAAATACGTTTGAACAACCCTCAGTAAAAAAATCAAAACCCTGTTTTAAAGAGCTGCTAACGGTCTCTCCAAGCACTGAATGCCAGATTACAAAAGAAAAAGACATGATTTTCATCTCTTGATGTAAAAAAACAGAAATATTACAATGAATCGTTTTAGGGTTGCAATGATACGTCATTTCCCTTGTTAACTTTGGATGTTAATGCAGCATTCATTCTGTAGAATCAAAGTTTTATTAAAATTTAGCTAAACAACCCCAGACTTTTGGCCTTAGGGCTGCCCCACTGATCTCTAATAAAACACTGGATTGCTGATTACCCGTTGGTAGTACAGAGTTGAAGTGAAGCCACCGACCACCATATTGATACTCCCTAGTTAGACCGGTTTCAGTATAAACAATACGTGCGCTACAGCATCGATAACAATGATGTTCTCATTTTCAGGGGGACTAAAGTCTTTTAAAATGAAAATAATTAATCACTTTGACACATACTTGGTGTTTCATAGCATAGTTACTTAACTTACAATAAAAAAATAAGCGCATCACATTGCATAGTCATTATGAAGTCAATGAAGTCTATAAATCACGTAATATATCATACAGGTCCATCACAACAACATGGATGTGTTAATGGAGCATAATACAGATGTGCCAAAAGTACTAAATTGATTATATACATGTAATATACATACAGTCATTACATCTTACATGTCTGATCATGCATGGTATATATCCATCCATCCATCTATTTTTTTCACTCATCCCAAGCGGGGTTCTGAGGGGTACTTCTCTAGCTGTCTACAGGCTTGAGGCAGGGTACACCCTAAACAGATCGCCAGAGACAAACAGGACAAACAACCATTCACGCACACACTCACACCTAACCAATTAACCTAACAGTCATGTTATATATATATATATATATATATATATATATACACAAAAATAAAACTCTTCCTCACCCATCGCGGGTCGTCTTCCCCACTTTTCCCTCCAAGATCAGGTCCTCTACCAGAGGCCTGGGAGCTTGAGGGTCCTGCGCAGTATCTTTGCTGTTCCTAGAACCGCACTCTTCTGGAGCGAGATGTCTGATGTATTTCCAGGGATCTGCTGTAACCACTCCTCCAGTTTGGGGATCACTGCCCCAAGTGCCCCAGTGACCAAGCTCTTCTCTGAGCTCCTGGTATTTCTCTAGTTTCTCATGTTCCTTTTTCCTGATGTTACAGTCACTTGATATTGCTATTTAAACCACAGCTTTCCTCTGCTTTTTGTCCACCACCACAATGTGCGGTTGGTTTGCCATCACCATTCTGTCCGTCTGTATCTGGAAGTCCCACAGGATCTTGGCTTGATCATTCTCTACCACCTTTGGAGATGTTTACCACTTTGACCTTGGGGTTTTCGGCCCCTAATATATATATATATATATATATATATATATATATATATATATTTTTTTTTTTTTTTTTAAATCAGGTGTTTTCTGTGATGTTCAGGAAATGTTCAGTCAGACATCTGCACTTGTTGACAAGTATGTTGCTTCAATGAACATCAGCAAGGTACTTTAAATGAAAACTAAAAGATGAATATTTTATTTTACTAAATTATCATTTAGTATATGTGTATTTAATTGTTTTGTTTTATTTGAATTACTAGTGTGAATTTATCATTATCTTTAATGGGAAGGTATGTAAACTTTCAAGCACAACAATATATACAGACATTTACAGCACACACAAACTACTCTCACTATCTTTGACTTCCATTCATCTCTACAGCCTAACCCAGAACCCTTTTCCCTAAACTTAACCATTACATGTTCAATCCTAACCCTAACCTCAACCAAAACTCGATCCACACCTTATTACTAAACATGATCCCTGACACAGAAACTTGCACTTTTTTTAAAATCAGGGTAAACACAGATTATATGCACATTAATTGGGTGAGTTGTCATAGATTTAAACCAAAATCAACATCTTCTGTGATAAAGGGAAATAAAGATGAAAGGATATGAGTTAAATGATATCAGTTCATATCCCATACATGTTAATCTAACATTATTCAATAGGCTTTGAGTACTTACTGTATGTGCTTGTTTATTGAACTGTTCGCTCCAAATGTATGTAAAGCCTCCTTGGATAACATCAATGCAATGCAGCAAAACATCCCCTCTGTTCTGTTATCTATCCACAACATATGTGTCTCAGCACCTTGCCATGACCCACTTCCACTCTTGCACAAACACTGAGACACAGACATGTATGTAGAAGGAACCGTGCAAAAGAAATTCATAGCCCTGTTATGAAGAACCATCAAGCATTATATCTTTTGCCAATTTTGGGTGAGTTAATTGAACTATATTGAACATTAAAAAAAATGTATTTGCTAGTCTAATACTATTCCTTCCTTCTGTTGATTTAGCTCTTGCATTTTTGCCCATCACTATAGGTAAGTGACCTATATGAAGCTCTGTTTACTAGTAACTAGGAAAAAAGGTAATACTTTAATATAGTTGATCTAAGCAATAAAAAGTTGTAGTAAGAATATGTTAAAGTGGGATATTATATGTGGGGTTATATATTTGACTTCTTATATGCTAATATGGTGTACTTGTGTAAAACAGTAATATTTTGAAGCATTTTATAGGCAAATATTAATTTTGAAAATACTAAATATCAACTTCTTGGCCAAATCCTGACTTAAAAAGGCCCTTTCTTTTCTCTGTTTTGTTTTTATTTTCTCAAGTTTTGTTTATCCTCCTCCTACATGACATCTAACTGCAGGTTCTTTGCGGGGTAAAGAAGCAGGATGATTCCACACCATAGATCCAAAATGTCTCACTTATGATCTTTGAGGAAAGTCATTACTACATCCACCTTATGATGTTGGAAAACCCATTGATCAGATCTAGATTGGCCCTGGAATATTGTAAGAACTTACTTTTAGAGGACCTTCCAAAGCCATTCTTTACACATGGCACTTTTCTTAGATTAAAGTTCTTAGACAAAACCTTCATTGGGTCTAACCTCACATGCAGAGCGGCATGTAGCAAAATGATTCCGTGAGGAAATCCCACTGACTTTTGCTCATCATGAAGCCTAAACAGCACAGCAGCACCATCCCCACCGCCCCCACCTCCCGAAGTTCTTGATGATCTATATATCATGTTAAGTGCTTTCATGAGGATTGCTTTAGGATTACTGGAGGATTACTGGAGACAGTAGGCAGTTTGAATAAAAAGGTAGATCCAGATAATATCACAAATGCTCTAAAAAATCTATATATAAATACAGTATTAGCGAGCTGTTGCTACTAAGGCTGCTATGTCAACAAAGAGGGAGATGAATGCATGCATTTGGAAACCATTGTTAGCAATGGTTTAAATTCTCTCTCTTTACTCTTTAAATTGATGGTTTCAGCTAAACTTTTTTACTGCTCTGTGTTAATTCGCAAAAAAGCTACGAAAGCTCATTTTGTACAATTATTACAGTAAAAACTGTCTCTTTTTTACTTTTTTAAAAGTAATTAATGGAGCCAATTATTGATTGTAAAATAAGATGGCATCGTTGCAGGCAGTCTTTTGCTGTCAATTTTATCTTGTTTATTCTGGCCCTTTGCGCGAGTGAAATCAGGTCTTTCTTGGTGTATTTCCAGACATTACTATTTTTAAGTCTGTTCGTAAACAATTTGGCTTCCGTTGATATAAGGGAACATACTGTTTTCCTCCAGTTCTCGTCCAAATCCCAGTTTATGTAAACCAAGTTTTGCAAAGCACTTACCACATGAACGATATTTGACCTGGCAAAGTGATAGAAGCTGAAGCTGGTATCCATTTCGGCCCGTTTTGTCTTGGCTTTTTCTGAAACCAGTTGATACTTTCCTGGGTTATGTTATTGAAACCCCCCTGCTTCTCTTCCAGCTAGAATCTGCTTGGTAAATGCCAGACTACATTAACGCCGCATGCGATGCAAAATTGTACTTTTGCTGCTAGGCACGCCACATAAACCAATCAAAGAAGCTGATCTAGGAGCGAGTAGGGAGACAAATACAGCTCTGCTGAAGCAGAGAATAATAGTCAGTCCTCTGAAACAGTTTATTAACGTCTAAATTAACTTAAAATGTCGAAACCTGCTGGCAAAATATGTTTGCTTTTATTATTCTGGTGCCTGCAGTTTGTAGCACATACATGAAAAACGCAAACATCTACTTCCAGCTGCCAAGAACAGTAGCTGAAAACCCCTAGCTGCTTATGGGAATACCCAGTGACAGCACACCGCTGGAATGTGGGGATCTGATCAGCTCTGACAGCATGATAAACTGACTGCATAGACAATTTTGAGGTGGACTTTCTCACTTAAAAATATATTAAAACTACTTTTTTACCAGTTACCACAGCAAATATACCAAAGCCACCATCTTAGACTCCTTGTGTTCATTTTTAAGGTCTTAAAAAACCTAGCCTTGTTTAACTTGACAGAAGAGGATAGTTATGAGACTTTCTACTTTTTTACATTTGATAGGCTGCTTTCCTATATCTTATTAAAACTCATTAGAAAACTTACTTTTGTCTACTGGCCTTCAACCCAAGTTATATTTGCTCTGATTTCATTTCTACTGGTATTATTTTTGTCTGTCTCCTAAGTGTAATAAGCTCAGAACTGGGACAGAGAATTCAGGCGAGACAGACAGTGGATTACTTAAAGCCGTTTATTTTAAACACAGGAGCAGGCCGTAGGTCTGCGGGATCAGCACCTAGAGCGTCTATGACTGAAGCTTTGTTGGATAGAAACACAGGTTTAGTGACTGCGAATAATCTGACGGAGGATGATTATGTACGTGTGAGTCACTAACTTGGTTTAACAGTTCAGTCCTGTGTCCAAAGAACGGAGATGGTTCCAGCAGGTCTACTGAACAGAAGCAGAGGGCGCTGTCAGAGATTTCCAGACGTGAAAAGCTGCAGAGCTGACAGGAGACAGGCAGGCAAATTGATAAGACAGAGGCAGGTGGGATCAGAGGTCCAAAACAAAAATGGATCAGGATCGGACAATCAAAACACTAAAGTACGCTAGAAAACTCTCGTCACCAAAGGCTCAAGAATAATCTGCCGATATTGGCTGGGAAACGGGGAGCTTTAAATAGGAAACCGGAACAGGTGGATCTGATGAGGAACAGGGCAAAGCTAGACAGGTGAAGGAGATGAGCAATCAGGACCAAAATGGTGACACTAGGTTGTGTATAGTGTTTCAAGTTTCTTAATTTATTATAATTTCTTAATTTATTATAGAGTGTTGAGTTTTTAATAATTTTATCATACATATTAAATATATTTTATTGTCTTGATTGTTCACCTAAAAATAACTGCACTTATTCCAGGTGAATCCGGTTCTCTTCGCCCAGTGTTGTCTGGTCCTGACAGAGCCTACCTCAATACCCGGGTAGTCTTCCGCTGTTCTGTCCCCAACCTGTCCTCTATGGCCAGCTACATGCTGATAAGGGATCGACGTTTCGTTGTTGGCAGAAATGTTGGCCGTCAAAGGAACAACACTGCAATGTTTCCTCTAAAAGTCAATGCAGCTTCAGATGGGTCATATCACTGCAAAGCTTCAACTGAAGAAAGCCGAGGATTGAGCAACAGGATCAAACTGACCATAGTCAGTAAGTAATAAGCTGGTGGATTATTTTACAGAATATTAATCCTGTCTAATCACAGTCTGATGCGGTTTACCTTCTTTCTAGCCCCACCATCTAATATCAGAGTGACCTCTGACCCCTACCCTCCGGTTGCATTCGAGGGGTCTCAGATTGTCCTAAGCTGTGATGCTCAACGTGGTTCTCACCTTAACTACACCTGGTATTTTAACAGGACCACAATAATGTCATCAACATCTGGCTTCAGCATTGTGGGGAACAAGCTAGTGATGGAGAAGGTGACTTTGGAGAGGGAGGGAAATTATAACTGCATTGCTTGGTCTATGGTGCAGCAAATCACCAGGTATTCAACCTGCACAGAAGTCAAAGTGACAGTCAAAGGTAAATACTGACAAAAACATGTAACGTAACAGAAACATACAGGTAAGGAAAGTGTCCAAATGAGGCTATGAATAGAGATAATCCAAAGAAAACTTACAACTAAAAGTTGGAAAATCATGAAAATGCTTTAAGGGACGGGGATGAAGGAAGGGGTTTCCAGGACTCTACTTCTTCTGGCTTCTTTCATACAACTTTTGGCTTTTTCAAAGTCTTCCATACACTGGTTTAATACCTCATCAAGCACTCAAATAAGGCAGACCTGACCCTAATTGAACACTAGTTAAATTTATCCGGTCAAATAAAGTTAATTTAAAGATGAAATTTTTTTCTTTTCTAACATATACAGTAGTTTTCTCTCGATGTGACAAAGATGAAGCAAACTAGCGCAGCTTACATTTAAATGCAAGTGTTTCTTCCACATTTTAGGCCACCGTTACACCCGCTGCCAAATTCATGTGAACCTGCACTGATGCAGACTGACTTTTTAAGGGATGAACTGTCCACTCGCCCTACACACTATGTGCTTTGGACCAGCCCTAAATATGCCAGACTGGCTGAAACGTACAAATGCGGGGTTTAGTGGCACGGGGTAGTGTTTCGGGGCCAGTTTGCAGTTGGGCCCCTAAGAGGTTTAGCCTCAATTGAAATGACAGAATTTTGTGTGTAATCCAGTCAGGGGCCTACTTTCTTGATGGTTGCCTCAGTGCACAGAGATTCAAGCCTTAACCAGTTTTTCACATAAAGACTGCGAGGCAGCATCCTGCTGCTCCAGTGTGGAGGGGTTATCGTATTGGAGCATGGGCTCAACATCAAGTCATGAAATCAAGCGTATTTTAACACACTTTTAATTAATTTTAATGACTACATTTGAAGTTTAACTATGTATATTTGACCACTTATTTACGATGATCCATGGTCAGACAGATGGTCAGAACTGTAAAGACAACAGTAGGAAGGAGGAACAGGAGGACAAACCAGGGTCCAGGGTCAGAGCCGGGTGATCAGACCTCTAATTAAGCACCGGAGGGAAATCCAGAGGTCGAGAAACACATCCAGGTTAGGCAACGGACAGGCAGACAAAGAGATCAGGGTCAGTCTGAACACTCAGGAAGTCAGGAATCAGAATGGAGGAAAATATCTCACCAATGGCTTGAAATAATCTGGCACTGATGTTTGGTGTGAAGGCTGGTTATATGGTTGCAGTTGGATGAGATGAGTAGTAATGAGAATGGGGCAAAGCAAAGCAGGTGTGTCTTGCAAGGAATCAGACCAACATGACACAAACTGCCTTTTTGACAAAAGTGGGAATGCTGCTGTGTGCCGAGGGACAGCTCATGACCCATATACCAGTTGCCACAGGTAGGAGTCCAGGGACCACTACACTACTGCGGGGCCTGGCCCTGCTGATCTTTGCCAAATATCTCTCCCCTCTCTTAACGCACTTTCCTTTCTACATACTTTCAAATTATAACAAAAATAAAGGCCACTAGAGCCTAAAAATATTCTTAACAAACACAGAATTTATTTAGTGGATGAATAAATGTTAACTGATTCTCCTTCCTGACTGGAGGATGTATGCAGCACCTCTAGATTTACCAAGGGCCTCTAGTGTGTTTCCCAGACTTATGGTCACTTGCTTAGTCTGTCAGATTAGTTTGTGATGTTTTGATATTTCTTTTTTTTTATCTGTGGTATATGGTTTATAACCTAACATAGGTTTAAACAACTGCATCATTTTCTCCCTGACATAACTGCTGTCCCTTATTAATAAAACTGAGAGCCATTCAGAGAACAGATGGTTTTATATTGAGATATAATCACACCCAGTTGAACACTTTTTACTAAATAATGTAGTATTTTGTTTAGAGCCATTGCAATAATCTGTCTGAAAAAAAAAATGCAACAACTTTAAAGTTTTTTTTTGTTGTCTTCCTTCCAATTCAATGTTACGCAATTCATGACGTGGCTGTAAGCTGAGAAACCTACACAATCTTAACAGCTTTGGAATAAAAAGGCTTGTTGATCAGATTAAAAGTACCTTTTGAAACAACCTTTAAGCAGGTATTAAACAATTAAACCTTCCTGTTACAAGTGAGCTTTTCTCTCTACTGTTGCTGCATGCATTGTCACTGTGAGGGATTGCTGTCGAGTCAATGGCAAAGTGCAATGAGCTGGTTTTCCTAGATGGAACATTTTTAACCAATCAACTCTTTTATCTGGTTAAATTGTCTCTGTAATGTGCCTTGAGCTGACATGTGTTGTGAATTGGCGCTATATCAATAAACTGTACTGAAATTGAAGCACATTTTCCAGAAAGCCCACATTCCAGTGATGGTTGGATAAAATGGGGATTTATTTGAGTCCTTTCCAAGACACACTTTTTTCTTTTTACCTTCTCTTCTCTTTTCTTTTTTACAGTTAAGATCTCAAAACCAGAAATCTCCCTTTTCATTTTCAAAGAGGGGGATACTTACCTTGGAAATGTAACCTGCTCGTCTTCAAAAGGGACTCCACCAGTAAACTTCTCTCTTTTACTGGATGACACAGAGGTCATAACTGCCACAGCTGCCAAATCACTGGCTGCATGGTTTAAGATTCCTGTTGCCATTGGGCTGAACATGGGAGAGGCCCGATGTCGAGGGAGAAATGAGGCGCAGGACTTGAAGAGTGAGGCCCTCACTCTGGAAGTAGGTGAGGTGCACATTGAAGGTGTTTGCTTTTTTGTGACCCACACTCTTGGTTTCCTCTTTCAGCTCAATGCTCTTCTGTACTCCATTTCCATTTTGTTTCAAGTCCCGGTTGGAGGAGATGTAAGGTTGGAAGTTGACTATCTGTACACTGCTGAAGCCAAGCTGGACGCTGTGAAGCTTAGCTGTCACATCAGCAGAGGGACGTTCCCACACTTCTCCTGGCTAGTAAACAACACTATACTTCCGACTGAGTCCCAAAAGGATTTCAAACCTCAAACGTTTCTGTCCCACCAAAAACAAGGCCTCATCCTCTCTGAATTCAGCGCAGAGTATGCTGGGTATTACCGCTGTAGGGCCAGAGACAGCTATGAAGACTCTGGGCCATGGGCAGAAAGTGCAGCTGTGCTGGTCCAAATCACCGGTGAGATGGGATATTATTTAGAATATTACCTGATTTTCAATCAGTTTCATTCCTATTTCTGTGCAGTTTTGGCTAGAATACCCACCAGACTTCTACATTATAGATGTTTTCAATACTTAAGTTGAAGAGATACAAAAGAAAATAACTTTTGTAACATTCTCAATGTAGGCCAACTTCTTATTGAAAGGTAAATGCTTTGAACTTTTGGACAAAACAGGAAATATTAAAGAATGATTTGGCAATATATGCTGTGTTCCGGGCTCTGGAACCTATTGTATTACTTTAACTTCAATAAACTTTAACTATATTGCAGTGTTTTTGTCTCAACCCCAATTCAAAGCATTTTAAGAGCACCAGCCATGATGCATGAGCTAATCCCTCACCCTTTTAGATGGAAAAGCTCAAGTTGGGAGTGGCGGCCTAGTGGTATGGCATAGAGCTTGGTATCCTGAGTTTCTGAGTTTGAGTCCATCTCCCACAGACTGACACTCTGGGTCTCTAAGCAAGACCCTTAAACCCACACTGCTCCCCAGGTGCTGCACAATGGATGGGTTAAATGCAGAGAGTTCATTTTGTTGCTCTGTACTTGTGACAGTGTAATGACAATAAAAGCTGGGAAAAACAATACAATTGGCAGGAAATGTTAAACTATCTTTTAATCAGTACAGAAAAATTTTAAATATACATGAGAACGCTTGATCCTTTTAAAATGAATATTTTTTGTATCCAAGTTACACAAAAAGTTCAAATTTAACAATGAAATCTTGGGGTGGCATAGTTTTAACCTTTGTAGTTGCAGTGAAAGAAAGAGAAACAAAAATCTAAATAATTTCTGTTTATTTATCCTTTGCGAATTTAAAAACAAACACTTTACAATGAAAAAGCCTATTTAACTGAATCATACAGATGTATTCCAATTCAACAACAATCATTAATAAATTATTTAATTTTTAAACAACCCACTACTTTTCTACAATTCCACTACAATCCACAACTATTAAGCTGTTCCAGTCATCCACATACAGCGAAGATTAAGACTTTTTTAAGACTTTTCATAACAGTTTTATTTCAGATGTAGCTTTGAGTTAAATATTGGAATAAATAGATATTGGAAGAAGAAAAAAAAGTAGAAGAATACACCATCCCCTATGTTAAACATGGTGGTGGTAGCATTATGGTTTGGGAAAGCGTTTATTTAGCAGGCTCAAGGAAGCCTATTTAGTTGAAAGGAGAATGAAGGAGATAAATACAGGACAATCTTAAAACAAATGTTAAAACAAATGCTTAATAATATGTTAGAATTAAAGATTGAAGATTAAAATGGTAAGTGGACATATGGACTTGAAAACTCATGTAACAGATGATTTCTGTGCAATATAGCTTTAGTTTGGGCTAGTTTACAAAAAAAACAAAACAAAAAAACAAAGCAATTAAGTTTTTTTGACAATCAAAAGCACACCACACTTTTCATATTTTTATTTAAAAACATATCGAAGACCTTGGATATTTCCCCCCACTACAGGTTCATGCAAATTTCTTTGTGAACTATCACATCAATAAAATAAAATGAATCCAATTTTATGGTTGAAATATAATCTTTGGGTTTTCCTTTTTTCCTACCCTCGTTTTCTCTTCCATCAGAAGAAAACCTGAACTCAATGGCTCAAGCATCGTCCTGCACATCCACAATGTCTCAAAGTAAAAATTACATGATGCACTATTAATACACTTGGATGATATGCAGAGTTACATTAATGACTTGGTATCTTCTGATCCACAGAGCTTTTTTCAGATGTTATCACCATAGTCTTCTGCTGCTTCTTTCTCTTGATGCTGGCAGTGGCTTCAGTCTGCGTTTACAAGATGTTTGACCAACCCCAAGGTCTGTGTGTCAACATTTGCAAAATCTGTCTTTGTGAAATGTGGAGTTGAATATTTTTCTTCTCTATGTGTGTCTTTTTTTTTTTACAGCTTTTACCAATGTTTCTGCAACTAAGTAAGCTTTCCACTTTCTCTAAAATAGATTAATCTATGAATTAACGAGTCAGCAAGTTAATGCATCTGTAATGCGTATTTTTTCATTATTTCAGCACAATATCATTTCATCTCTCTGGACCCCAGTCTCAGTCTGTGGGTCTGCAAGCAGACACATTATCCTGTGATGTCCACAACCAGGTAAACACAGCACCAGAATTAAAATACTTTGTTTTTGGTGCCAAAAAGAACCCATTCAAGACAGAATATTGAGTATTGCTAAAGACTGTTTTTTTTTTTTTTTTTTTTTTTTTTTTGAAAAACAAACTGAGGTTGTCTGTTGTTTTAATAGTGTGTCAAGCTAATAAAGATAGAGTAACAATAAAGTGGACATAAACTCTAGCTGTATGTGTAACAGTGTTCAGAATATTTTCTTATCACACCTTGTTCATGCTCTCAGAACTGTTAATAATTCTAGTATTGTTTAGTTTATCTTGTTTGCATTTTATTTATTTATTTAGTCAGGACGGAGCACATTAATGAACAATCTTATACTTCTGTACAGATTGTAAATGAGCCAGATTATAGCATAGTTGCTAATTTACATCTGTCGTCCTGAGGCAGGAAGACAAAACAACACAAGATCACATAATACAATATCAGGCAAAACACATAGACACACGTTCAGACAATGACATTTTGATAATACTCTTAGCTTGCATTGATTTTGAATGAAATTACTTGGATATACTTTATTTGAAACATTGTTGCTTCAAAATATCTCCACAATTGTTATCAACCAGGCTTGATATGAAGATGCTAAAACCACAGGATGATTTTACACAAAAATTGAAACTACACAAGTAGCAGCATTAACTTATTGTTTCTTATTTAAACCTGGATGCAGCAAATATCTCGCCTGGTGAGCCAGACTGAGTTAATCATTATATAGTGCATATCAGTCCGGAAGGGAGCGGGTAGAGTCTCATTTCAAAGGCGGGACCAGGGTAGGACTTACAGAGCAGAAACAGATTAGTCGTTCCAATCTTCACAGATATAACAATTTTAAAAAGAATATAGCTGATATAGGTAGTTTTATTAGCCAACTGTCAGATGGATTAATGATCCTGCAGTCAGCTGCTATCATGATAGCAGTTTACCAGCTGTAGGTTTTAAGCAGGGCGATTGATTTCAGTCCTTTAGTTTCTACATCACGACTCTACAATTTTCAAAATTAGAGATATTTCCAAATGCATATTTTTTGTAGCAGCTCTCTTTTAGCCAGCTGAACAGAGTCATGGTCTGAGACAAGAATGGGGGTGCTACAGTATGGTACTCTTTGCTCTGTGCAGCTGGAGATTATAATAGTCGTCCCAGCCCTTCTCTCAATCCTCTTAAAAATTTAGTTACATTAAACATCCATTGCATCTATACATAAAAACAATAAAAAAAATCTATTTCTGAATGATAGTGCTATTCATGTCTGCATAGCATAGTGAGCAGAAGTAAGTACTTTTGTAAACTCACCTCTGTCCGCAAAAATACAAATAGCTTCCTTTTAAAGCTGCATTCAGAACCATGATAGCTTGTCTATTTTCATTTTCTTTGTTTTTAGTCGTTGTTGACATATTTTGAAATTATTATTTTTATCTCTTTTAAATGGTTGAATGGCTTTACATTGTTTTAGTTCTTGATCAAACTTCTTCCATTTCTTTACTCCTATAACAGTATTACAAAAGCTTGTTGGGATAGGAAGCATTCTGCTTCCTCTTCCTAGCTCCTTTTCTACTCTCGGGGCTATCCTCATAGCATTTATCATGGCGACCGCGGACGCTTATCCACCTTAGCTTAAGTCTCCTTATCGATTTCATATATTCAGAAAGAGCCCTTTGTTTACCTTGCAGGAAATTCGTACACACCGCAAGTATTTTTGTTATTGGCTCCGGTGTAATTTTGCAGCAGTGTCACAGTGCCACTGGAGGCATGGCATATGTCCTGATATCTACTTTTGATAAAACTTCTACTTCTTTTTAATCACCTCATTAAGTGGATATGTTAAACATAGCCAAATCTGTATTTTTATACTTAATCTTCACTAGCTGCAATAGATTTATAAGCCACTTTTGGTCATTTTGTTTTTTACAGTTCTCCTTTACATGTGATTTTTAGTCCTCTATTATACCTGAACATATTTACATTAAGGTTTATCTACTTTGGACCTCATCAACTTCTCGATATCACATTTTTTAAATGTCCTATTTATAGTGATATTTTTGTATTTATCAGTTATATCTTAGATAGACAATTTCTAATACATTTTTCATGACACCATTTTCAGTTTGCAATTACACTTTTTACATAAACACCATTAAAGGATATTTCTTGAATTATTTCATTGTTCAAAACATTAAGAAAGAAAGAATTATAGAAAGATGCAAAATACTTTAAAATATCTTTACACGATTAGACTGCTTTGGGGTTTTTTAATGTATCAGATCTATTTGATTTTTATCATTTTACTCATTTAATCTAAACTTTGCATTGTGTTTAACAGAAAAACAATAAGCAAAAAATACATGATTGTCTCTCTGTCTCCTTTTCAGACTGTTGAATTCACATTATGAAGACATCCAAGAATATCCTGATCCTTCTTAATCATTGTTTGTTTAAAATGTTTTAAATTATTTATCACATATGTATTCAATAATATTCTAAGATTCTGCTATTCCTGTCTAAAGAGCGAGAAATGGTATCTAACAACTACTGTATATTGCCATTTTTCAAATGAACATATTTTAAAGATGTAAATGTGTTTTTCCATTAAATAAGTGAAAGAAAAGAAAATCGTTTTGCTTCACTGTGTGTCTAATTTCTTTAGATTCAAATTTGATGTTTTCAGTCCAGCTTACCTGATGAGAAGGGCGTACTAGTTCAGGAGGCGTTGCGTGCTGCAGCCCTATCAGTTGCTTGCACATTTTTCTGACTGTGACTGTGGTGTCATCAGACACAGTTTCCACCCAGTTAAAACTGTCAGTTATTCTGCCCTGTTTTACATAAAGTGAAACCGCTTACAGTGTAAAAGACTCCAGCATGTTTGCTTCCACATGTTTGATCATCCTGGGTAAGCCAACCATCATAAACACTATCAGGCATCAAGTTTTTTTATTAGATGACTTAAGTTGAATTCTTCCTCCCTCGTGTAGTGCTGTGGTGTTGCACAAACGAGAGCAGTGAGTAGAAATCTATCACTGTGTGCTTTCAGGTAATGTTAGCTTCAGGTTCTTTAAGTTCAGATTTTTATTTACAGATGGGTTCCAGCTGGACAGACCACGTCTCCAGGGCCCTTCAGTGGCTTCGCTGAAAGAAATCGTTGTCTTTACGTGTGAGATTAAAAATCAACTAACTAATGAAACGATCCTTCTGAGATTATTCAAGTACGTACTGTCAGGTTACACTTTGAGGTAAATGCATTTGGTTTTTAAAAAAAGTTAAAAGGAGATATGTTATATTTCTGATCTCAGAAAGGATGACCGTGAAGAGATATTGGGAGAGTACTCCCTCCCACCCGATGAGGAAATCGGTGTCTTTCCCAGGGAAATCAAGGATTACTATGAGGGCTACCTTGAGTGTGAGGCCAGCATACAAAACAACACTGAGATAAATGCTACTGTGAGCCAAGGACACTTCTTTAGGGTTTTTGGTAAGTTCTGTTTGGAATTTAGATTGTTTTTCTCATAAAAAAATATTTCATTTACATATAAGGTCTGACAAATATGACAATATAGGGTTACATAATATTATTAAATCATGTTATACAGTATAGTGCTGCTCAGTTTCGCAGTGGGTAGCTCTGTTGCCTTGCAGCAAGAAGGCTCCGGGTTCGATTCCCGGCCCGGGGTCTTTCTGCATGGAGTTTGCATCTTCTCCCTGAGCATGCGGTGGTTCTCTCTGCGTACTCCGGCTTCCTCCCACAGAGCAAAAACATGACTGTTAGGTTGGATTCTCTAATCTCTCCTAAGGTGTGAGAATGTGTGTGAATGGTTGTTTGTCCTGTTTGTCTCTGTGTTGCCCTGTGGTGGTCTGGCAACCTGTCCATGGTGTAACATGCCTCTGCCCTGTAGGTAGATGGAGATAGGCACCAGCACCCCTTCCGACCCCACTTGGGAGAAGCGTATACGGAAGATGGATGGATATTCAATATGATAGTGGATAACTCCCTTAATCTAATGACTGGTTGGGTTACAGCAACAACTGCAACCAAGCATTTGTGATAAATGTTAGATAATCTTTTACTGTGGAGGAGTTTTGGCACAGTCATCCTTGATGAAATGTTTTAATTACATAATAGTCACATATATACATTGTAACAAATCGAGACTCCGCATCACACTGATAACATCATACCTAAAATAACTCAACTCAAATGTATTCTACTGCATTTTTGCACCATATATTTATTTACTTTTGCACTGCTCCGAACTTCCACATCAATGCCTTTTTGCACCAAGTCTCTCCTACACTGTTTACATTTGATCACTGCTGGACTATATGAATGGACATGTTATTTACTGCTAAGATGCTGCTCATTCATTTTCAGAAAGCCGTATAAAGAAAACTGCATACACAGAGTGTATGCAAAATGACAATTAAAGTTGTCCAAGTCTAACTCTAACTAATTAGGTCACATTAGAGGGTTTTTCTACATGAATAAAATCAAATAGGGAGTAGGTACATGTCATCATTTAGGAAGCATTAACATCTCCAAAATAAACACAAAACATGGTATCAAAACATAGCCATCTTAAAAAATAATTTTAACAGAAAACAATATTTTGATTTTCTCTGTCCTGACAGCAGATTTTTAAAACCTATTTTGTTTTCACTTTTTTGTAGAGCCTGTCAGAGGTGCAGAAATTCTTCACGAGGGTCCAACAGAGATCTTTGAAGGAGACAAACTAGAGCTACAATGTAAAGCTGCAGCTGGAAGTAATGTGTACTATAAATTTTTTCTCAATAAGTATTCCATCACTAAACATCGCCAAGGAATGAATGACAGCTGGCTGATAATCCCAAGGTTAGTGCAAAATCCACGAAGAAGGTGCCACTACATCAGGAGATGCTTACCTTGGACAATATATGACAGATTTATGTCTACGATGTTTATTAACATGTTCTGATTATAACCATAAGAAAAGAATAGTACACTATTGCTATAAGTTCATATTTTACTATGTTGTAAACACAGTAATTGAATAAGCCAACAAGCCAACATCCAAACTGTTGCTCACACAAGACCCTAGCAGATACATTTAGTTTAACATAGACGTATTCAGCCCTGGACCTTTTCTCTGTCATCACTGTAATGTAAACATGAAAACAAAAAGTCATCTTAACAAACTGTTTGGGAGATGTTTGTTTTCAGGTCCTTGATGGTTGAAACACTCAAAAAGGGGTTTCAAAATGCATTAAATTATTGCAACAAGATTTGCGCTGGGCTATTTCCTTTGCCTGTCTTTTATGACACTTTAAATTTAATCTTGTTCAAATCAAAGCACAACAAGGTCTTAGAGGTCAAAATAGAATTTAAAGTCTCCATTTTAGTTGATAAGTGTTTGTATGCAGTGTTGTTTTCGTCAACGATGACGATGATGATGATGATGATGATGATGATGATGATGATGATGATGATGATGATGATGATGATGATGAAATTGATGCTTCTTTTTTCCATGACAATACCAAAAACTGAGCTAAAGCTAAATCTGCTGCGTCGGTATGGTCATAACGCCCACCTGACGTACAGCACTGAACATTCTGCATAACCACAGATGGACCATGGCAGCAGCGGCAGGGGTGAAAAAGCCTGAATGGTCTATTACCGCATGCTCAACGCTGACAAATTCTGCTCTTCCAGCTGTGTTAATGCAGAAATGCGTATTTGCACTCACATAGCTCAGAGTCTGCGCTTCTCTCCCTCCACACTGACGGTTCGCTCTCAGCATGATGGCTCTTCCAGCCCTCGCTACTGAATAAAAACTTTTTGGCCGATCATCTATCATCTAAGACAAGCATAAAAATTTACTTTGACTATCAACTATCAAGATTGAATTTTTTCCAACTCACAAGAGGTGATTCAAAACCCTCTTTAATTTCTACCAAAAAGAACCCCTAAGTTATATCCAAAGCAAATATTTCATTGCATACCGTTTATTTTTGGATAAAATCCCAGGTGAAAAAGTACATAGATCTTTTAATATTTCTTTCTTATAGTTCTTGTTTCTATATTTCAAAATTTTTGTTAACATATTGAAATTTACATAATTTTCAATTTCAATTTTCAGTCCCCTAAGAATTTAAATCTACTTTGACCCCTGAGCAGTGGTAATCAAGGGACAAATTCTTAGAAATAAAGCCAAAATTGCCAAAGTAGAAAGAAGAATGTTTTTGGTTCTTTGCTTTTTTTTGGAGGTATGAAGATTTTATTGATCTGTGTGTAATGCATAATTAATTGCATATTACCAAGTGTTTGCTTTTGGATGGAAACTTCGTATGTCTAAAACCATTCCTTTATTGTACATTTTGCTAGCTTGTCTTTCTGCTATATTAACCAATATGATGTGTTGAACTAGTTTTGCTATTTTCACAGCTTTTGTGAGACACTATTTCATAAAGTAGGGCATTGATTCATGAAAAAAGTTTATTTGGATTCTATAAATCACAGTTTTCTGCTCAACAGCAATGATGAACTGCAGGGCAGCATTCTATACCCAGCAATCTGGGCAAAACTGTCAGTCTGGTAAAGACTCTGGTTGGTAGTCGGAATTGTAAAGGTTAACTGTTATATGAAGTGCAACATATATCTGACTAATACTAGACTAACATCTTGGGTTTTAGTCTAGACTAAAACTATCACATATAGTAATGACTAAAATATGTCTAAAACTTATAACAGTTTTCATTCTGAAGACTATAACTAAGACTAAATCTAAGATGGCTGTTAAAAACAATACTGTTTTTACGAGTAGTAAAACTAGAGGTATGAGACTAGAGAAATGTAATAATCTTTGTCTTTCACAGAGTGTCCTCTAAAGACGGCGGCACCTACAGCTGTATGGCTTTAAACCAGTTCAATGACACGATCTTCCATTCCAACAGCTCGGGCATTGTTATCACCATTAAAGGTTAGAATCCATCTATATTAAGTGTTGGATTACACAAAGACTTGTAGAGGTATCTAAACCCCTTGAAAGTTTACTCATTTTTGCATGTTCTACCCACAAAATTAAATGTTTGTTCATACCAAACTAGTGCACTCCCTTACCCATCAATAACTTTTAGCCAATCAGTTTTCACATTGTACAGTAATGTTATTATAGATTATCCATTCTGTATGTCTCCTCACTGCAGTCTGGACCTATTTTATGGATGATTTCAATCAGATTGACAAACACAGGACAGACTTAATGAAGGAAAGTTTAGAAGATTACCAGCAGCTCAATTCCAATTCTGTTTATTACAGTATACAGCACCAATTAGATTCAGAAATCTATCAAACCGACCATGCATGCAGCAACAATAGAGAGGAAAACTCCCTTTGAACAGGAAGATATCTCCAGCAGAACCAGAATCTGACTCAGTGTGAACGGCCATCTGCTGAGGCCAACTGGGGTTCGAGGAGACAGAAGCAGACAGAAAGATAAGCAGAGATACAAAAGGTAACTGTAAACCAGCTCCACAGGCGGCCCCATCCAGGAAACACACAGCCAGGCAGACAAACTCCGATGATGAAAGAGAGCACATCCAGCCAGTCACAGTCAGAGAAACAGGAATACACTGAAAAACAGGCTGATCTCCAACATCTATAAAAAAAAAGGTGTTGATGGCAGCTGCACAGCTGATATTTCTCTCCAGGATGGAGTCACAGTCAAACAGGAACAGACCAGATGATGCCACTATGAGAAAAAGCAGAGAGAGCATAACGGATACTGCAGAGTGGGTGAATAGAGATAGAATGAAGCACAATGATGAAAAGGGGTCCCTATGTTCTCCAGCAGTCTAAGCCTATAGCAGCATAACTATAGAGTTAGCTCAGGATAACCTTAGCCACTCTAACTATAAGCTTTATCAAAAGGAAAGTTGTAAGCCTATCCTTAAAAGTAGACAGGGTGTCTGCCTCATTGACTGGTAGTTGGTTCCACAGGACAGAATATTTCCAATATGAATCTATAATACAATACGACTTCTGCTAGCACCACCAATGGTCTGGCCTGTTACCAGGGCTGGGTTGAAAAAAATCAATTAATCAATTTGAATTTATTTTCCTTTCCATATCCATATTGATTCATAACACCATTCAATCTTTTAAATATGTCTTTTCCCCAAACCACCATGTGAGTTATCAGGAGACAATGTGAGTTCTCGTTACCAACAGTGTGAGTAGTGTAAAAAAAAAAAAACAGGATTGAAAAAAACCCTTGAAAGCACCACCAACAAAATCGGAAATGTTTCCGATTTTTAAAAGATGACAGCAGCAATGAACTGGATAAGAGCCGAATGGTATGCAAGAGTGGTCAAGTATGTGGCAACACAACGAACCTTTTAACGAGACACCACCCGCAAACCCTATCTGCCCCGAAGCAAATGCAGCTTGAGAAGTCATTTGTGTGCAAGTTACCGGCAATCTCTCTGTGAGCCCAGAAAATTACGAAGGCTGTCACTACATTTATCTGTAAGGAAATTTAACCCCACAGCGTGGTTGAAGATAACAGCTTCTGTGGCCTTGTGAGAATTCTGGAGCTACTCTATATTTTACTCACGTGCAGACAGTTACGTGAAGCATCAATCCCAACTCGGGGGGAGTATGGCATCAGTATCACTTAAATCAGCAGCAAGAATAGCCCTGACCTTTGATCCTGATCATTACATATTATATCATTATGATAAATATTGGTTTTGCAATCACTCACATCTGCACAAAAACTTTGTGAGACAGTAAACGGAAATTAAGAGAGTTTTTTAAGTTTGCAATGTTTTGTAGGCGCTTTATCTATGCAGCCTTTGCTGTGGTATGAATTTATTTACATTTTTTTGTATTTTTGTTTTGTTGAATAAAAGGTAGGCTACATGATGAATGTGGATGCATGAGGTGAAAGTTTAATTTTAATATTCATAATTTTACTAAAGGTAGTTTCATTAGTTCTTTAGCTAATGCCTTCCATATCCAAGTAAAATTGTCCTTAACTGATTCAAAAATCGGACTGATTCTAGTTTCGAATCAAATCGATTTGACTCCCATTGCTATTTATTATTAGAATTTTAGTATTATCATTAATATAGTTGTATTATTTTATACAAAAACTATAGTCCAAAAAAAAAAAAACATAATTCAGGTTCAAATAGTTATAGAATTGTTATAAAAATTTACATTTCAGTTTTGTTCCCTCTGTCATCAAATGCATGATTGGACTCATTTCAATCAGTGTTCTTTCCATCTCTTCAAAAGATGACTGTTGTGAACTCAATTCCTGACAGAGACATTTATCGCCATAAAAAGACAAAAAAAAAAAACTCTTAAGAGCATAAACTGATATAAAACTATAGCCAATATATTATATATTGGTAAACTTTATAGCTTGAATACGACCACAACCTGCTCTTATTTTACCTCTGTTGAGACAGAGGTGAACGCATAAAGAATGAACAAAGCATTTAATAATCAGTCAAATTCTCCTGTTTAGACAGAGGCTGCCAATAGAATACCCTCTGAGAGGCAACGTAGGTGTTCGTGTCCCAAAGTTTTATTTCCTAAATGTTCCTTCCTTCAAGGGAAGCACACGTTTCTTCATGTTTTCTGCTCATTCAGACCAGCCTTGGACATTCTTAGGTCAAGTCGCAGTTTTTTTCTGTATTTAAGGATGGGGAATAAACTTTACACCGATCTGGCATGTGTAAGCCCTGGAAATCAAGACAAGGTAAACGCTCTGTTCTCTGTCTTGGTTTTCAGAAACATGATAAACTGCCCCAAAAGAGTTCAGAATGAAATCCCTCAAAGCTCTTTTGAGAAAATGAGAAGTCGTCACTCCAATCTGATAATGAGTACAAAAGAGCCTTGTGTGGATATGATTCTAAAGGTTAATCTATCAGACATAGTAACTGCAGTTTCTCAGGACTTGTTTAGAATATTTGGCTCAACTAAACACTTGCTTCAGGCCGCCATAGACCGGAAACACACTTTTGATTCCTGTCTTATCAAAAGTCTGGAAAAAGACCTGGGACTCAAAAACACAAAACAAGTGAATGCGTTCGATTTGATCAACCCGATGAAGGAGCCTCCGAACCCCAACGCTGTTTTTCTGGCTCTACTAATTAGGAATGTGATCAACAGCTCCAAGACAGCGGGCAAGTCCCTCCCGTCAGGTTCTCTTCAAACCATAGTAGAACGTCTGTACCAGTTAATAACTTTCTGCCCCGATAAAACCAAATCTCACCCTCAGCCGCAGATCCAACAGCTGGAATTGGTTGTCAAAAGGATTTCCAAGGACATCTTTAATGAACATGGGAGTATTCTAACATTTATGAATGCAGGCCTGAATTTAAACACATCATTTGATGTTTTATTACTGGATTATCTTAAAACCAGCTTAAAAATCAAAGCACCCCAAAAAAACAGGATAGTCTCTGCCATCAACAGCGCCTTGGACAGAATCTCCAGAGATTTCCTTAACCTGAGTGCTCGGTGGCAGTGGGACTTCCTCCCAACCGTGGTTCAGAGAGAAAACACGACATTTGGGAACAACCAGGAAGTTGGTAACAAGACTTAAACTGCTCGCCTTGTCTCGCCTCCTCTCCCCTCTCCTCTCCTCTCCTCTCCCCCATCCCCTCACCTCCAATGGGTTTTCTGCAGGTACGCTGGGTTTCCCGCATAGTCAAAAACCAAGTTTTCCAATATTTTCCTTTTACTTCATGTGCTGAATATGTATTTCTTCTTCTCTCTCTGCTTGTTTTTGCCACTGTTGCACCCAAATTTCCTCAGTCTCATCATCTTATCAGCCCAGACACATAGGGCCTCTTGCAAGATGTACAAAAAAAATTTTTTAAATCATTTGCATGAGTTTTTTAGGAGAAAAAGGATACATTCACCATTTTCTAATCTCTCAGGAATAAACATTTACATAGTCCGTCAGACTGACGTAGGACTAAAGTTCAATCAGTCAGCTGTTATCAAAAACCTTAATTTAGTTGTTCACTAAATTCAGTTTCAATTTATTTCTATAGCTCCAATTCACATCATGTCATCTCAGGTCACTTTATAGAGACAATTTAACCAGATCATCAAGTCAGATTGATTTAAAGTTTTCTATTCAAGGTAAACCAGTTGAATGCATCGACTCGAACGCTGGATATGTTGAATGTTGGACAGAACATTTAATTTTTTCCAGTTTTAGACATGACATGAGGTCCAATAACCACTGTTTGTGAGTTGTAGGAGCCGCACTCTTCCACCTGGTTAGAACTGTGCGCCTCGCTAACAGTAAGCAGAATGCCAGTTCTGCCGTTTAGAGGCCAGTAAAGGCGACCCCTCACCACTAAAACCAAACAGAGCCAGAAGAGGGCCAGGTGTTATCACCACTCCCGCCAACCCAGATATTGTATGAAAAACATCTGTCCAGAAATGTCCAAGAGCGGGGCAGGACCAGTACATACTGTATAATATTTAGTGCACAGAATTTTTAAAACTGTACACCATTAGTTTCATAATTTTCTTGAAAAACTCAAGTCAGATCAATGTAGTACACATATAATCCACAAGTGGCCAGTAATTATTTGCAGCAGAACATGTGCATCAAAGTGATATATAAGGTAGATCAGGTCTTTTAATTGCATACCTCTCAATTTTCCTGTTATGCAGTTTATGCAGTATGCATTTTGCAAAGCAACAGGCAGTCTGCATATTTAGTGAACATATTTCTTGTATCTGAATTACAAGATAGTAAATTAAATCAATTTCTAATGAAACTGAACCAGTCAGAAGAGTAACAGACAGTAATTTGCTTTGTATATAAACGTTTAGAGTGCAAAAATATCTAGTGTTGACGACAGGTTTAGGATTATGGCCGACCAATTTATGTGACATAGAGTTGTTAGAGGAAGGTGATGAGGAGATATATGTGAAATAGACTAATTCTGAAGCACATGTAAAAGAAAAAAAGGTACTGGTGATGAGGAGGATATATTAGATGAAATCTTGACATGGAAGGTACAATGACTTGCATTAATATGTTTAGAATGACACATGGATTCATGGGGAGGAGCCTGGGTTTCACACATAAATATTATCCACAATATTGTCAGATGACTCATTTTTTTAAAGTGGAGCTTGAAATAAATCATATTCTTCTTTATATATATATATATATATATATATATATATATATATTTATTTATTTTCTCCATAGCATTTTCTTAAGTGTTTTATTTTGTCTTTGTTTTGTAGAGTCAGTCGAAGGTGCAAAGATCGTTTACACCGGTCCAACAGAGATCTTTGAGGGAAACTACCTAGATCTACAATGTAAAGTTGAACCTGGAAAGCATGTGTCCTACAAATGGTTTCTTAATGACCGCCTCATCACTGCATCTCCTTTTCACTTGATTGGAGATAACCGCTTGAGGATCTCCAGGTCAGTGCAAAACAAACAAACAAAAAAAAAAGATTTTGCAGGAGCTACTACTACATTGGTGTATTTGTATAAAGTGTACTTGCGGGGGGTTAGAGAAAAGTTCATTGGACGGTGGACATCTACTGCAGTGGAGCTCAAAAGAAACCTTGAGGGTGCTGATTGTGTTAGTAGAGAGGGAATCCAGTAATCTCTCCAGAAGGAAAACCATGGAAGAAATATGTTGCAAGTCCATTTAAACTACACTACAAGAGATAAGCAACAAAACAAGGCATGGAGGGCTAGAGATATCACTGTACTGAGGTACACTAAGATACTGAAGCAACCATTTAGTTAACTCTGCAGCTCTGCTTTGCCCACCAAATTAATATGTAGCTCCAAGAAAAATAAAGATAAAACAATTCAGACAGATCTGAAATGTAGGATAGTGCATTTTTGATTCTCTATTAGTGAAACACTCATGCAGCTCTGCCTTGAAATAATGTCTAGAAAGTTCTGTGTAAAAGCAAACCACGACAACTGAAGATGGGCATTTCCTCACTTTTCCCTCAACCCAAAATAGCAGTTTCAATGTATTTTTCAAAACAAAAGCAGTTAACTGATGAATAGGGGAGGGTGGCACAGCCAGCATGGATTGATTTAAACCATTGACCCTTTTTTACGGCACAACTGCCAGAGTTAAAGCAGTCATAACTTCTTTAGAAATTGTACAGGCCAACATCTACACTGTTACTGACATACAGCTGAACTTTAACAGATTGACTGAGCTGAACGTGGGCATGCTTAGCCCTGTACCTTTGTCATAACTGCAGATCTCCAAATATGAAGACATTATGTCATCTACGTGGGCTGTTTTGGTGATCATTTTACATCAGCCTGTCTTCATGTTTTTCAGAAAAACACAGTAAGGTCTTAGGAACAAAAAATTATTTCAAAGTTTTGTTGGTAAAAAAAAATGTTTGCATGAGTGCTTGAAGTAAACCTAACAACATTGCTTGCACTATTCTAAAGAAAGGCTAGAGTTGTAATTATCTGTTTCATTCCCAGAGTTTCCTCTAAAGACAGCGGCTCCTACATGTGTCAGGCTATATACGTCCTCAATGAAACAATGATGTCCACCTTCAACAGCCCGGAAGTTTTGATCACCATTAAAGGTTGGAACACATCAGAAGCAACTGTCAGATTATACAATCACTGCCAGAAGCACCCTGACCCCTTGAACTTTTAACGCTTTTCATCATGCTAAACCGCAAACATGAATGTACTTTTTTGGAGGGTTTTGTGGAATCAAGTTGTTCTGTGAGGCCTCCAAGATTTGCTCAATAACTTAAGTAAATAAAAAGCATCACCAAGATCAAGGAACACTGAGCTATTGTGGAGATTAAAGCAGGTTTAGGTTATAAAATATTGTTCTCGAGCTCTAAAAAGTCCAACAGAGCTCTGATCAATCCATCATCTGAAAATGGAAAGGCAATGCAAATCTACCAAAACATGCCTGTCTTCTTGGCTGGAAAAGGGAAGCATTAATCATAGAAGCAGCTAAAAGGACTTTAGTAGATCCTGTGGAAGCTGTAAATATCTGCAACTAGGAACGGCAGAGTAGAACGACTAGTGGTAAACACAAATAAGTTAAAATATCCGCAAAACAGGCTTAAATCAGACGCAACCAGACTTTGGCTCAGTTTTTCTAAAAATGTTTCGAAACACATCGACAAAATTGTTGTTATCCCTCTTTTAGTAAAAAAAAACATAATGGTCAAGGATAACCTGACAAGATAATCTGATGAGATAATCTGACAAAAGTAATACTAAATAAAGAAATATCTATAAAAATTATAATATTTTGGGTCATTGGCTCTTTTGGGTCATTATCCTGTTGAAGACCTGTGGCCTGTGACTTTCTGACATTGGGCAGCATGTCTCTCTAGAATCCAATAATAGTCTTCATATTTCATTGAACCCTGTAGAGATTCAGACACCCTGAGTCAGATGAAGCTAAGCAGCTCTAGAGCATAACAGAGCCTCCACTGTGTTTGACAGTAGGACCATTGTTCTTTAATTGATATGTTTCATTTTCCCATCTGTTAATATAGAGCTTATGTGCCTTAGCAACAAGTTACATTATTGTCTGATCTGTCAATATTACATTTTCCCAAAAGCTGTGTTTGGCAAAAGATGAACTCAAGAATTACTTTTTTCAGATCCTGCAGAGACATTAGGCAAAAAAAAGCATTACGTCAATCATTGATTGTACACTTCTCCTACTTAGAACGATTAGAGAAGTCTGTAATTTTCATCAAAGGTTTCCCTATGAGAGAATGAATGAAAATAAAATCACACTGTAGGACAGCGATCACCAACGTAGAGTCCACGGCCACCCAAGCGAACCAAGGTCGCCATAGGGTGCCTTCAATGTCTTCTAAAAACAGCACAACTTACCAGTGGGCTAAGTTTGACATTTTATTTTATTCTGTTACTCTTATTTTTTTTTTATCACACTTACACTTATAGAGATTTCAAATTATCAAAAATAAAAACTAGAATGAAAAGAGACATTAAAAATATATTTATTATGCATGAAAGTTAGGTGAATGCTGACTCCTCCACTTTATAGGTCAGTATTGGTAGCCCTTCCTTTGGTTTAGAACCCATGATGTAGCTCTAATTTTAAAATGGTTGTTGATCCCTGTTGTAGGATTTATGAATAATTTATTCATAACTTATGCTGAGAAATAAGTATTTGGTCAAAATTAGCAAGATGTCATCCAGTGGGGTCAAAATAGTTATGAGAACTATGAGCATGAATCCCAGAACTACAGGGATAGACCTGATGAATGAACTGCAAAGAGCCAAGACCAGAGAAATAAAAGATTCCATCAGTAATACATTATGCTGGGAAAGAACCAATTATCCTGACATGTTGGGCCAAAACCCCCTTCTATCAATATGCTTGGGTCTTCCAGCATGACAATGAGTAGCACTGTAGAAAAAAGGAGCAACAGCCCCAAACCATAAATCCTGTAGAGAAGATCTGCATGAAGGAATGGACTACAGCAAACCTGATTAAGACTTACGGGAAATATTTGATCTCTGTCATTGACACAAAATATTGTCAAATTGGGTTACTCAATAAATACTTATTTTTTTCGCCAACATTTTAAAATCCTATATTTTGATTTC